GAAGGAAGGAAGGAAGGAAGGAAGGAAGGAAGGAAGGAGTCTAATAATAGAGATTCCATTAGCAACTGCCTATCTTTTCCCTATACAGACAAGTTCTGTTCCAGGGATGGGACATCTGAGGATCTCCAGAACACTCTGCTCTTCTTCCAGATCACCCTGATTCAGCCACCCCAGGGTGGCCTTTTGGTTCTTCTGGAAGTTACTCTTCCACAACAGAAAGAAGGCGGTGGAGGGCAAGGGGGTAATTTCTTCTGGTCAACAATCAGCTTGCTGCTGAAGTAAAACATGAACACAACTCCCAACTAAACATCCTGGCTCCACGAGAGATGTTTCACAACCCAACGAGTGGCAACTGACACAGAGAGGGGCACATTGAGACAACATCAGACGAAAGATCTGATAATAGATATTATTATCAATCTTCCCGCCTGGGATTCTCCAGAGAGTAGGATAAATCAGCCAAGGCCGCCAATCCCTATTGGCGACAGATCATTATCCAACTCCACGGGGTGGTCTAGAAGAAGAACGAAGTATAGTCTTAACTTTGCATTCCCCCCCCTCAAATCCCTGGGGGGGGATTTTTATCTCTTCAGCTAGTTCAAGAAAGAACAAGTGTTCCTCTACACAGCAAGAGTTTTACTATCTGTCTGTCAAGCAAGACCCGATGGCAAATTGAACACTTCTCTTTCAACACGCTTTTATCAAAGTTTTAATCCGTACTGAAATTGTATAGCATGCGCATCGAGGTCATGTTAACAATGACGGTCAAAATACAAAATACAAAAAGGTGGCTGCATTATCCAGGAGACCGGGGTGTCTTTTCTCCGCCTCCAACTCAAGGGGCTTCAAAAGAGAGAAATCCCAAATTTGCCTTGTCTCAGAAAAGATCCACATTCCTGGTATAAAGTAGAAATATTTAGAGAAAGGGCTACAGATTGACAGCTTCCTTGGGCTGTGGTTTGATTTTTGCATTTCGTTCGCCCACATTTGGTCCTTGCTTTGATATTCCAACTCACCCAGATAGTCTTGATCAGGAGAAAAGGTGGGGTGCTGAGTGCAAATGGGTAAAACTGAGTTTAGTCCCGGACAAGGCTAATAATTCTAGGGAAACCTGTCCTGTAAGCCCACCATTAAGACCTAGGAAAGGTCAATTTGCGAAGTGGGGGAGCATCAGCATAGCTGGGGGTGAAAGGCCACCACGGTGTGCGCGTGGGCACCCATGTACCCATACCCGTGCTTTTAATCAAGGGATTCCAGCTACACAAGGTCAAGAGGTCAAGTTCATCACAAGGCCTTAAAAGGGAAGAGAGGGGGTTCAAAAGCCCTTCTTCTTCTGATCCTGGACTTTCAACCCCGAAGCAGAATGCGCTGTGCCCGGAGGGAGGAGACAGCAAGGCCTGAAGGTTTGGCAGCTTTAGAAAAGGAGCTTTTAAAGGTTTCTTTGGAGTTGACCAAAGAGAACGTCTATCCTGCGCCTGTTTGATCATCCCCTGAGCTCCAGGATTAATTGGAGCGAGCTGCAAAGCCTGCGAAGGATGGTTAGCAAACAAAACCCAGCGCTTGGGGCCCAAACGGTCTTTGCAGAGGGGTGGCCCCGGCTGTGGGAAACATGACCAATATTTTTTTAACACCCCCCTTGGAGCAAATGTCTGGTTCGTCCAGAAAGATGCAGGGGACCTCTTCTATTGGGGATACAAAATGCTCTGAACCGATTAAAAAGGGGATTCAGGCCGGGTGGACGGGCACGGCGTTTCTCTGTCCGTCGTGCTCAGATAGGAGGTGCAAAAGAGCCCGAATTGAACGCTCGCACCAACACTGTTCACTTTCAATCCAAGAGCCTTAAGGCGGTGGGAGGGTGGCTGGTCTTCACTCCCCCAGTGGATTTTGCGCAGCTCCCCGCCGGAGGACGTTATCCAGCTTTAAATAGGCAATGCCCGCCTGCACAAACACACACGTGCCAAGGAAACGGGTGGGTTTCCCATGACACGCTGGCCTGCAAACTACTCCGGCTCGCTTTTGCAGCCCCGGTGGGCCGTTTCATCAAGGGGCGACGGCTCGCCTCTATCAGCGCCTTAAAAAAAGGAGTCTTTGTTGAGGCCCAAAGTAATCTGCGGACATGCTGCGGTCCGTTAAGGGGGCACCATAAAGGCCCCTTCCGGTCTCAAATGTTGTGGAAGCAGGTTGGCACGGAGCTCACATTCTGGGGCAAAGCTTCTCAACCTTGGCCATTTGAAGATGGGTGGACTTCAACTCCCAGAATTCCCCAGCCTGGGGAATTCTGGGAGTTGAAGTCCACCCATCTTCAAGTGGCCAAGGTTGAGAAACTCTGCTCCGGGGTGTCACAGCTGCATCGCAAGCATGCCCCGTTGGCATCCCAGAGAGGGCTGGTCTTTGAAGGAGCCACTGCAGATACCAAACCGGTTGAATTCGGACAAGAGAGTGGACCTTCTTTAAGATAGCAAGTTCAACCTTACACCGCTGGACTGAGACACTTGAGCATAGTGGCGGGTGCTTTTCTGGACCCGCTTGCAGCCGAGACAGCGCTTATGGGGACCTTGGCCCACCAACCTCTGAAGCCTGATTGTTGCCTCCTCAATCCAAATCTGAACATCCCACCCCAAGGGGAAGCAGCCTCTGAACCATGGTTTACTCAGCCTCATAGCTGTGGGCTACCTGTGGCTCTTGGTTATGGTCTGGCCCACCGAGTCAGAGAGTGGGATTTAAGCCCGGGAAAGGCCTGGCTTTAAACCTGATTCAACCTGTATTTCTTCTGCCTTTCACACTGAATCCTTTTTAACAGGGAACCGAAAGCCAATCTCTTCACCGCTGTGCTTAAAAGCCCAAGATGGGGCCCACGTTACGCTTGCCCAGAAAGTAAATGCTTTTGCTTCAGAAATTGACTTTCCCATTAACTTCTCTGGCCCTGTGCCGTTTCGCAAGATAAAATTATTACTGTTTTTATGTATGAGGTTTCTAATCCAACCCAAGGTTTCCCTGTAGATTAGTCAATTAAATGTCGCCTCTACAGGAGGGGCACTCTTTTTCCTTGACAATTCTGCCTTCATTAATTTGTATAAAGAGCAGCCTTAGGTCTGGAGATGGTGTTGGACTACACCAACCATCTTCCCTTGAACTGGCTGGAGATCCCGGGAATACAGGAAAGGCTGATTGAACTCTCTGCAAACCCTATTTTCCCTTGACCCATCTTTTCTTTCCCCTTTTATTCCCCTTAAGGAATAAAAATTCCATGTGGCTTGTGCTGGGTGGAAAAAGTCACCGCTGTTTGTCTCCTGAGTTCTGAACAGGCCCTTTAAAAAAGAAATCCCCCCCCCCCCCACCTTTGGAATCGCCCGGCTGCTCTGTAAAAGCCAACGCTTCGCCAGGGTGCTGACCTAACAAACAGACCTGACCCCTCCGAGGAGGAAGCACGGTCCTGGGTAGCCAGGATAGACCTCAGGTCCCCCTACCCCCATCAGACCAGGATCTTCCTGGCACCAAGCCGAGGTGTCCTCTTAGGCCCAGTTTGCATCTCTGGAATTAAATTTGCTGCCGGGGATCAAAGCTCGCTGTTGCTTCCCATCGCCTTGTCGGCAGAGAGATTTTCAGCCTCCAATTAATTCCCCCACTTGGTTTCTGCCTGCGTGAGGTTTAATATTTAGGGATTTTTTAAAAATTGCCCTTAAGCCTTTTACCGGCTTCATCTCAATTTAGCCTTCAGCCTGATTTTCTCAACCGCTATCCTTTCGTCATTAACTAACGGAGGCTGCCTCGTTTTACAGCCCACCGGTTTCTTTGCTAGTGAGATGCACCAACCCCGGTTCATTTGGGGAGGATTAGCCCACCTGGTCTTTAAGGAGTTCCTGCTTGAGAGATTTTCGGCTACCTCCAGGAGCTCCATTTCAAGGGTCATCATTTCTCATTCAATAATTTAACAAACGCCCTCCCCACCCCAGAGAGTCAGATGTTTTCCAACCTTCACCGCAAGAGCTGAAACCCAGGTTTTAACTACTTTAGCCTGATGCTGGCCAGTTCGGGGGCTGGGTGAGGGTTTGAATCCTCTCCCCACAAAGGCAAATGCTTCCAAGGAGTGGGGTGCAATCCCACACAGGGAGCAGCTCCTTCCAAAAACTGCCACTGAGCCCAACTGTTTCAGGGAACAGAAGGGGAACGCTATTAAATATGTGGGCAGCAAACAGATTTTGGGTATTTAATTAATTTAATTCAAATAGGATCAAAATATGCTTCTGCCCCAGATCTATGTGTGTTGTGTGTGCGCCCCACTACTTTTTGAAAAATGACCTCCAAAGGGCCAAATGTGGCTTCAGCAAATCATGGATAGATAAGTCTGGCAGAGGGAAAGATATCTCTGGTTTCAACCCCAGTAAACGAAGGGTAGAAAGTTGCAGAAAACACTGCCTTAGATAGAAACTTCTGAAAAAGTTGATCCTCCTGTTGTTTTTTTTAAAAGGTGATCTGCAGATCCCAGCCTGGCGCAGACCGCCTTTTCCCTTATAATGTGCGTCCCCTTTTCCTTTTGCGTGGCAAAAGAGGTTAATGGAGCGCTATGTACTTGCACCCCAGAGGTGCTATTCAGGCCAGAGAAGCAGAGCAACCCAGCCAGAGGAATAAAAAATTGAGCTTGAACTTGCTGAAATCTAACTCGACACCCCTGGAGATGCGCCCATCTATTAACTAAGAGGTGCAAAGGGACACCCCAAGGACATGCCACGGATTTGAAAACGTGCCATCCGGCCATACGTGGGAAAACCTGTGGACCGGATCACGTTCCTCTGCTAGAATTGTGAGTCCTGTTCAGAATAAACTCTGGTGCGAACAAACGTCTTTTTCAAAAGACAGACCACCTCTTCTTCCCACACCTTCCAGCTTGAAAAACTGTCCTGGCAGGGTCGGCTGGGTTCGGGGCCCCCAGGATCTCTCTAGGAGCTGCGGGCGATGGCGTGAGGGCCTGAATCCCTGATCGCCAGGCAGGAGGGCGGATCAGACTCGGCTGCAAGGAATCCGCTCGGGCTATCCATCAGAAGGCCTGGCAGGAATTTGATTGGATGCAGGAAGGAGCACAATCCGAGAGGGGCCGTGTGCGCCGAGGAGCGGGGGTCTCTGCAGACCGTTCTGGGGCAGCCGGGAATAACAAAGACTAGGTCTCGAGGGACGTTTGATGGATGGCCAGCAGAAGAAAAACAACCCTGCCGAGGACACACGTCCAGCCCAGCCCTCCATTACTGGTAGGTGACCTTCACGCAGAACGTCTCTTCGTTCTTGCCTTCGCAGTCGTTGATGTAAATCAGGACCTCCTCCTCGCCGGCATTTTCGCTCGGGGCAAAACGCAAGCCGATGGTGTATGTCTCCCCTCCGCCAACCTGGAGGGACAGCGGGAAGGAGGGTGAGAAGGCTCGGAGTCGGGCCAGCTCGGGCGTGCAACGGGGTGGCACAGGGAGAGGCCTCTTCACGAGTCAATCACCCTGCTCTAGAGCCAGAGCAGCGCCCAGCTGAGCTGACTCCCAAAGGGCTAAGGAAGGCCAGGGGTGCTTAGCATTTGGATGGGAGACCACTAGGAAGCTGCAGGGTGGCAATTACAAATATGCCAGGAGAAGGTGACAGCCAACCACTTGACAGAGGCTGCCAAGAAGGCCCCGGGCAGGAGTTTCAGACAAGGGTTAGCTCTCTTTTCTTCACCCCTCCGAGCCTCCAGCAATGGGGGTAGTTTCCCACTTTTCTGAGCCCACTGGGAACCCCAGAAAATTGAGAGCCAGCCCTAAAATAGGCTGACCTTGCTTAAATATCCAGAGGTGGAGCCCACCCGCTTTGCCTCCTCCCTCCTTCCCGCCCAGGACGGCTTTGCACCCCCAAAGCTTGTCCCCTTGGGATTATCCTCCACCCATGTAACTCTTTGGGGGTGCCAACCTCCCCCCTGCTTTGTCTGAGCCTCTGAGATAACCCCACCGTCCCCACATAAATAGCACTGAAATATCTCAGGCTAAAAAAAGAACGCTGTAATGCCAACCCTCGGGCAACCCTGCCGTGACCCTGAAAAAGAATGCCGCCCCGTGGCTCTAAGTCACAGCACCCGCTCCGCTTAAGCCAGTGTTGTCCAAACTTGACCACTTTAAGATGAGTGGGCTTCCCCTCCCCCAAATTTCCAGCTTGGGGATTCTTGGAGTTTAAATTCCCTATTCTTAAAATGGGGAAATTTTTAGAACACCGGCTTCAGCCGA